GTAGTGGAGAAACGGTCCCTTAAGGCCAATAATCTTAGGCGGCAATCTTCACGGTCTGTTGTTCTACGGCGGCGTCCAGTGCCCCTTGCTCTTTGCGTACGGCCTTCTCGAAGCCATGCCTGACAACACCTAACCACAGTGTCTACACTTCTTTGCACTCTAACTGCAATTGCCCGAAAAGAAAGTCCAGCTTCCCGAAGTCCCACTATGTTGACGAAATCGTACAGGTCTCCGAACTCTAGGCATCGTAACCGAACATAAAGGATGTCAAGAACCAAAATCCGCCAACGTTGATTCTTTACTGCGGCTGAAATATTCATTTTTAGAGCGTTAGTGAATTAAAAAAAGCAGTATAAAAACCGGAATGTCCAACTGATAAGGCTGAACATTTTTTCACTTGTTATTTACAGTAAGATAAATACATTCACCAACTTCTATTAAAATAAAACCATTTAAACTGGGTGTTCGGATTTATATGTCACTTAGTATATCTTGAAAGAATTCAACTTTATAACGAGCGCTATAGTTTCTCCACCAACCTTTGACAGAAATAGAGGTTGTATGCTGAAAAACTGGCTCATAAGGTACGCGTTACTGCATTTGATGTACGTTTCAGAAAACCAAAATATAACATTTGGAAAAACTTTTTTCAGTTAAGATGCTAGTCAATCTCTCAGTGATACTCCAAAGTTTCTAGGAAATTCATACAGGTTTTGTTGGTTCGATTAAATAACATTTAAGCTTCATTTCCCACATCATTGCATTTTGATTTGTTAAAAGCCGCTGTTGTATAAGTTCAATATATCATTTCATAGACACCTATTATGTCTTCGCGTAACAGCGAATGATATCATCTCATTATATGAGTATACCAAATGATTCCGGATACAATAGATCGATTGCTACTGATGTGCAATAAACATTACCTAACGGTTATTTGGTGAAAATGAATTCAATTTCACAGGAGTAATGATGATTTTATACAAACGATGCTGACTACAAGTAAATTCTGTTGTAATGGAGAATGTTTTGTTGAAAAACATTTAGGTACATTTTTTACGCTCGCCAACGTAGGGAAAACTGTTATATAACGAGTGCCGTTTTCACTGTCCATCGCTTTAGAATTGGTAATTACCACAAGTTGTAATTTGTTGGTTCGGGTTTAGATGGCAAAATTGAATGAACCAATAAGCTGTCGATGAAATAGACAAACGCCTTTCAACAAATGTCTAACAATTATCTTCGTAGTTTTTCATCTAGAAATGGTCCAAACTACAATCCTTACGATAATTTGTGAACATATCTTTGGATTAAAATGAAATTATGCAATAATAATAACGGTTGAACCAGGTTGAACATGTTTGCTACGGACTGAAGATAGGCAACCATAGTTCAACTTGTCTTTTTATTATCGAAGTTTGACATTTACAGTTTATTTGGTCGGTGAGTTTGATGATGGACTCATAAAGCTTGGGGCACTTGAGGACATTTAATCAAGGATAAAAATGGAATTTTTCCAAAGTGGCTTATCTTTCTCTACAGCTGGAGCTCTCCTTTTTAGGAACAATTATGCTTGAAATAATAGCTAGTCTACAGCAGAGAAAAAGTAAAACAAAAATTTCGAGAAAGTGTTCATCATTTATTTGAAAAGATGCTTCAAGTACCGCCTTTCAGGCTATGGAAGATGTCGCTGTTTGATTCCAAAAACAAAAGTTTTGCGCGATGACCACAACATTTGGGCTTTTCTAGATCTTCCACGCAACATACTCAAACTTGGCTTGTAATTTTAACTTTTTGTACGAGATAAACAAACCGACGCGGCGCGGGATGTAAACGCTAAGGAAAACGATCTGAATGCACTCTGGAAGCCTCAGCACCATCTGGAAAATGCTCGTTATTAACTAAAAGCATATGAGAGATTCGTTATTGTTATAGGAGAGTTGTAATCAAGCATATCTGTTTACCTAAACATACGACGCTTGTTAATCCCGACATAATTCGATGGAAAGGCAGGACCAGATTTAGTACGGCAGATTTTTTGGGACCCATTTTCTTGGTTATCCTTGACAAATGACATAGAAAATGTAACACCGACTAGGAGTGCTGTAATTATGAGCATACCTTTACAAGTTTTAGGTCTACTGATAAATAGAAAGTGATTAAAATTTTAACTCGAAATTTCGCAAAACAGCTGAGATATTCCACCTTAATGTTCGCCATGTATCGAAGCTCCTCCACATTCGTTAAGACGTTGCAGCATTGATTGATGTCTTCTTGGTGTATTGTATCACAGACCAACTGAATTTGGTTTCGTAGAGCCTCCAATGTTTTTGGAGGGTGTTGTGAATTTTGCAACCTTCCCATCATGTCCTATACATGCTCGATAAGGGAAAGGTCTGGAGATCGAGGAGGTTACTGAAACAGATTTACCCCGGACACCTCTAAAAAGTCTAAACTACGACATGAGGTCGTGTATTGTCCTGCTGAAAAAGTGAGTCTTGCAATGTTTTCAAAAAGTGAAACAGATGTGTTTGTAAAACTTCGTGGATATAGCACTGGGCAGTCGAATGAACACCGTGACCTGATGCCACCCAGAGTGCGATGAATATGCCGTTGGATGGAATATTGGACCTTCCGTCTTCCACCGCGTCTCCTCCTTACCCTTGCACCGCCACCATGTGTGCCCAAACAGAATCTGGACTCATCGCTGAACACGACTCAGTTCGGAGTCAGAGTTAGTACAAGAGGAGGACGGCTTGACCACCCAGAGTGCGATGAATATGCTGTTGGATGGAATATTGGACCTTCCGTCTTTCACCACGACTCCTCCTTACCCTTGCACCGCCACCATGTGTGCCCAAACAGAATCTGGACTCATCGCTGAACACGACTCAGTTCGGAGTCAGAGTTAGTACAAGAGGAGGACGGCTTGACCACCCAGAGTGCGACGAATATGCCGTTGGATGGAATATTGGACCTTCCGTCTTCCAACACGTCTCCTCCTTACTCTTGCACCGCCACCATGTGTGCCCAAACAGAATCTGGACTCATCGCTGAACACGACTCAGTTCGGGGCCAGAGTTAGTACAAGAGGGGGACGGCTTGACCACCCAGAGTGCGATGAATATGCTGTTGGATGGAATATTGGACCTTCCGTCTTCCACCACGTCTCCTCCTTACTCTTGCACCGCCACCACGTGTGCCCAAACAGAATCTGGACTCATCGCTGAACACGACTCAGTTCGGGGCCAGAGTTAGTACAAGAGGGGGACGGCTTGACCACCCAGAGTGCGATGAATATGCTGTTGGATGGACTATTGGACCTTCCGTCTTTCACCACGACTCCTCCTTACCCTTGCACCGCCACCATGTGTGCCCAAACAGAATCTGGACTCATCGCTGAACACGACTCAGTTCGGGGCCAGAGTTAGTACAAGAGGAGAACGGCTTGACCACCCAGAGTGCGATGAATATGCTGTTGGATGGAATATTGGACCTTCCGTCTTTCACCACGACTCCTCCTTATTCTTGCACCGCCACCATGTGTGCCCAAACAGAATCTGGACTCATCGCTGAACACGACTCAGTTCGGGGCCAGAGTTAGTACAAGAGGAGGACGGCTTGACCACCCAGAGTGCGATGAATATGCCGTTGGATGGAATATTGGACCTTCCGTCTTTCACCACGTCTCCCCCTTACCCTTGCACCGCCACCATGTGTGCCCAAACAGAATCTGGACTCATCGCTGAACACGACTCAGTTCGGGGCCAGAGTTAGTACAAGAGGGGGACGGCTTGACCACCCAGAGTGCGATGAATATGCTGTTGGATGGACTATTGGACCTTCCGTCTTCCAACACGTCTCCTCCTTACTCTTGCACCGCCACCATGTGTGCCCAAACAGAATCTGGACTCATCGCTGAACACGACTCAGTTCGGGGCCAGAGTTAGTACAAGAGGAGAACAGCTTGACCACCCAGAGTGCGATGAATATGCTGTTGGATGGAATATCGCTGAACACGACTGAGTTCGGGGCCAGAGTTAGTACAAGGGGAGGACGGCTTGACCACCCAGAGTGCGATGAATATGCTGTTGGATGGAATATTGGACCTTCCGTCTTTCACCACGACTCCTCCTTACCCTTGCACCGCCACCATGTGTGCCCAAACAGAATCTGGACTCATCGCTGAACACGACTCAGTTCGGAGTCAGAGTTAGTACAAGAGGACGACGGCTTGACCACCCAGAGTGCAATGAATATGCCGTTGGATGGAATATTGGACCTTCCGTCTTTCACCACAACTCCTCTTTACCCTTGCACCGCCACCATGTGTGCCCAAACAGAATCTGGACTCATCGCTGAACACGACTCAGTTCGGGGCCAGAGTTAGTACAAAAGGAGGACGGCTTGACCACCCAGAGTGCGACGAATATGCCGTTGGATGGAATATTGGACCTTCCGTCTTCCAACACGTCTCCTCCTTACTCTTGCACCGCCACCACGTGTGCCCAAACAGAATCTGGACTCATCGCTGAACACGACTCAGTTCGGGGCCAGAGTTAGTACAAGAGGGGGACGGCTTGACCACCCAGAGTGCGACGAATATGCCGTTGGATGGAATATTGGACCTTCCGTCTTCCACCACGTCTCCTCCTTACCCTTGCACCGCCACCATGTGTGCCCAAACAGAATCTGGACTCATCGCTGAACACGACTCAGTTCGGGGCCAGAGTTAGTACAAAAGGAGGACGGCTTGACCACCCAGAGTGCGACGAATATGCCGTTGGATGGAATATTGGACCTTCCGTCTTCCAACACGTCTCCTCCTTACTCTTGCACCGCCACCACGTGTGCCCAAACAGAATCTGGACTCGTCGCTGAACACGACTCAGTTCGGGACCACGGTTAGTACAAGAGGGGGACGGCTTGACCACCCAGAGTGCGACGAATATGCCGTTGGATGGAATATTGGACCTTCCGTCTTCCAACACGTCTCCTCCTTACTCTTACACCGCCACCATGTGTGCCCAAACAGAATCTGGACTCATCGCTGAACACAACTCAGTTCGGGGCCAGAGTTAGTACAAGAGGGGGACGGCTTGAAAACAGTCCAAAAGACCTTATTGTCATTGCCCTTCCGACCATCAAACCACTGGTTCGCAACCGCACTTGTATACAGGGTGTAAACGTTATGGTAGTCATTATTAGTATGGGTAATACGAGGGGTCAAAACAAGTCAAAAAGTTCATATGACCCATGGTCCAAAATTCAATAGATTTTTGTCTAAATGGCTTTATAGTTTACAACTTTAAGTGCTTTATATCGACCACAATCACCACAATCTTACTAATTTTCGCAAACGCTAACAGTAGTTAATATGTTGTTTTGTTTTTGTTCGCGTACGTCGTTTATAGAAACTTTTTTTCATATTTTTTAAAATATTTCCGACCAACTTTCGAACACCCTGTATACACACCAATTTATTACATCTCTTACAACTAACTTAACACAAATTCTTAAAAATATCACAGCTCGTCCTTGACTTTACTCCAATACCCGGCTATCATCACTCCAGCCTTCCTCCCTATCATCATGGTGGGAGCATTTGTATTTCCACTGGTCACGGTGGGCATGACGCTGGCATCCGCCACCCTAAGCCGGTTCACGCCGATGACCCTCAGCTTTGAGTCCACCACAGCCGTGGATTCGTCCTTGGGGCCCATTTTGCAAGTGCCTACTGGGTGGTACAAGGTTCCGCTCATGTGCCGTATCGCGCATTTCCAGTACTCGTCGGAATCGTATGGGAACTGGTCGCATGCTGGTATGACGTCGTGGACGAGTTCGGGGTTGTGTTTCGACATGGAGGCTGTTCGGAGCAGGGCTTGACAATATCTGAAAAAGTAGCAAAGGATAATTTTTGGCACAAGTTAAAAAAGGTTTGTCATGAACATGTATAACAAAAAATTAAATAATAATAATAATATTTATTACCCTCATCAAACAGTATATAAAAGTTTACAAACAAAAAGCCTTAAGAGAATGAAGAGCTACATCAGCTGGCCCCTTAAAGAAGCAGCTGCTAGAGCCCAAAAATAAACAAACAAATTTAAACAATTCTATATTAATGCAAATGGCTATTAAGACATCGATAATTAATAATGTTTTGATATAATATAGCGAAGTATGAGAGAGTGTGAGAAGAGACAACAAGGGGAGAGGAAGAGACCGTAAATCACTTTTAAAGTTCTTCTTAAATGTAGCTACCGAGAGAGAAAAATCTGTAATTTTTAATTTATTTACCAAAAAGGCAATTTGATATGAGAATGATTTCTTAAATGATTCTTTATTGTATGATGGTATTGTAATCAAATTCAACCTTCTAATGTTTAGATTTTGTACATCAGTCCGGTAACTAATTTTTAAGTGAAGATAAGAGGGGCTTTTATATCTTAAAATCTTGTAAAAAAATGAAGTAGAGTGCAAGGTACGCCTCTGAGCCATATTCAACCATCCCAGTTCAGGTACTTTGTGGGATACTCTTTGTCTACCCCTTATGCCAAATATCAGTCTCAGACAAGAATTCTGGACTTTTTGAGCCCGTTTTAGTTCCACCCTATCAAGAAATGGGCCATATACCATGTCAGCAAAGTTGAAGTGGGACAACACTAAAGCTTCGCAGAGCGTGGCTTTAATATTTTGTGATAGGTAATGTCTATGGGGGTAAATTATTTTTATAGTCAACGCCAAACAAAGTGGCGTGCACGTCATCAAGGTGGGTGTGTTGAAAAATTTACATTGTTGCCAAACCTTTTGTAAAATAATAAAATTTATTATTTATTAAGGTTTATAAGCAATATTAACCTCAAATGAGAACAAAAATAATAGTATAATAAAATTATAGATCTGTACTTGCATAATCATTAAGTATGACAATTATTGATCAGATGACACTATGAAACTACCATATTTAATTGACAGCTTAAAGGTACTGAATAAAAATCCAAATGGGGTCCTCCAAATTTTATGCATGGTATTTATTTTACAGAATTCATACAGAAAAATGCATTCTAAAATTAGGTAAGCTACTGGTGTAAGCTTTTTCTGTACAATAAAGTTAGTCGGAGTTTCTTTCTTCAGCGCTGTCTGAATCTGAATCTTCATCACTCTCAAAGTTGATTATTAAAGGTTCGATGTCTGGTCGATCAAAAATTCGTTCTCTTTCATACCATTTAAAAATTTCTTGCTCAGTATGTCGAACACTATTTTTCCACATGTCTGGGGTAACCGTTTGTAGAGCCTCGTTCCACATATCCAAACAGTCTTTTTCACTGTTACCATCTCTACCAATATGTCTGTTATAGTAACCTTTTGCTATGCCCCAAATTAACTCAATAGGGTTAAATATACAATGGTAAGGAGGCAGACGAAGAACTTTGTGCCCATGTTGTTCCGCCAATTCATCAATCACGTATATTTTAGGTGGTTTGTTTCTAAAAAAGCAGTTATTTTAAGAATAGGAATAAACAAAAGAAATATAAACTGTCGACCAAAATATATATAATTAAGAAGCATTATGTACCGAGCAACAATACTCAATAGCTCTGTTTTAAACATTGTGTTTAAAAATGGTATGTTTTGATTTGTCAACCAGTCTTGGATATTTTTTTTTGTCCATGCATTGTTGGGCACTTTGTTCAATATCATGCTGTGATAAGGGGCGTCATCCAGTATAATCATAGATGGACTCTCCAATTTTTCTAATAACTGATGTTGAAACCATTTCAAAAAATTGTCCTGGTTCATCTCTCCATGGTAATCGCTCAATTTTGTTTTCGAAGAAAATATCGCTTCGCTACCCTCAATAAACCCATTTTCATTTCCAGCATGTAATATAATGTATCTAAAATATATTAGTTTTAAATTTTATAGTGCAAATTGTGTAAAAGTACATACCTTTTACCATCTGTTTTAATAGCTTTCACGCTTTTTTGGTTTCCATTTTGCCAAGAGCGACCTATGGTCCCATTTTGAAATATCCAAGTTTCATCGAGGAAGACAAACTGGTATAAGGCCTCAACCTTGGCTTGATTGTATTGCCTTAGAAATTCCACCCTTTTCAAAGCTATACTTGGTAGTTCCATGAGCCCTCGTCCCGGATTGTCCTTAAGCCACTTAAATCCAAGATCTCTAAGCAACCGCCTTAAAGACGTGGTACTACCATCAAATAATGCCCTATCTCTTAATCGAGACCATAAAGTTTGTATCGTAACTTGTTCTTCTGAAACCATGTGTAATATGACATTATAATTTAGTTAACAAATTAATGCAAATTTCTGATAAGTTATTATAATAAGATCTTACTTTTGTGATACATATTATAGATCACTTCTCGAATGGCACTTGTATCCAATGTCGCTGTGTTGGTTACACGTTTAATATAACTCCGCTTTTTCTTGGGCGATTCTAAATTTGCATCACTTTTCACACCCTCGGAAATACGACTAACTGTCCTTAAACTAATTTTAAAGCAGCAGCAACACGCTACAAAAAATGAAATAAAATTTCACTATTATTAATATACATTACATATAATTATTAGTAACCTACCTCTTGAACAGCATTTAAAGGCAACAAAGGCCCGTTGTTGTCCCTTTCTTGCTCAAAGTAGTGCATTAACGAGGCCACGAGTTCCTTACACCGACTATTTAACTGTTTGGGCATCTTTATATACCAAAATTGCCTTTATCTACTCGTAAAATGAATAATTTTGTTTTGAAACAAACAGTTGTTGATTTACAGTATGCGGGGCCAAAGGATTTATAAAGATTTGAAATGCCACAAATTGATTCAGTGTCAAAATTAATACAAATGTCAGTTCCCAGTTTAAATAAGTTTCAAGGTGACAATGTGTCAATGCTGCGAAATCGGTTTAGTGCGTTTACATGTCGATAAGTGATTGGAGCGTTTGCAAAACATTTTATTTCGCATAATGCGTCTAAATTTATCAGAAAGCAACTTATGTGATATTTTAATAACAATGTTTATATGACTATTAACCATAATAAGAGAGTAATGACCATTTTACAATTTATATATCACATTAATATGAAACTGCATAGAGCAATTGTTTGTGATAGAAACCTAGGCATTAGGTCGGGGAATTTTTATCGTGATGACGTGCACGCCACTTTGTTTGGCGTTGACTATAACATTGAATATGCTTTTCTTAGGCACAGAGTAATGTGTTCTCTAAACTTAGGGTCGACCATTGAGCCCAAATCCTTCACGGAATCCCTAAATGATATTACTAGGCAGTCTGATAAGTACCTGAAAATTCTAAGAGATGGCATTAGTATTCACTAATGCGAACCATTTTTGTCGAGCCTGATCCTTCAAATGACACCTGTCAAAACTTCAGCCATTCATGTTTACACATTTACAAGTTACAGCACTGAGAAGCGACTAACCTCAGAGTTTTTTTTAATATGGAAAAATCCGAGTTTCGAGTTTTGATCAAACACTACTATCTACGCAAGAAAACGATATCCGAGACCAAGGCCAAGCTGGATAAGTATTACCCGGACTCTGCACCGTCGATTGGAACGATTCATAAGTGGTTTACGGAGTTTCGTTGTGGCCGTACAAGCACAGTTGATGCTGAACGATCTGGGCGCCCAAAAGAGGTCACTACACCAGAAAACGTCGAAAAAATCCATGATATGATGTTGAATGATCCCAAAGTGAAATTGAGAGAGGTAGCTAATGCTGTAGGCATGTCATTGGAACGCGTAGGCAATATCGTCCATTCAGTTTTGGGCATGAAGAAGCTCTGCGCGCGATGGGTGCCGCGTTTGCTCACAGTGGACCAAAAACGAATTCGTGTGACGACTTCCCAGCAGAATTTGGCATTATTTTCGCGTAAGCCGACCGAGTTTTTGCGACGATTTGTAACCATGGATGAAACCTGGATCCATTACTACACTCCTGAGTCAACGCAACAGGCAAAACAGTGGGTTCCACCGGGCCGAAGTGCTCCGAAGCGTCCAAAAACGCAACAATGGGCCGGAAAGGTTATGGCCTCCGTATTTTGGGATGCTCATGGCATAATATTCGTGGACTATCTTGGAAAAGGTAAAACCATAACCGGAGCATATTATTCATCATTATTGGACCGATTGAAAATCGAAATCGCCGAAAAACGACCGCATTTGAAGAAGAAAAAACCGCTTTATCATCACGACAATGCGCCTGTTCATTCATGCTTAGTTGCACAAGCAAAATTGCACGAAATCGGCTTCGAATTGGTTCCTCAGCCACCGTATTCACCAGACCTGGCCCCCAGCGACTATTACTTATTCCCTAACCTGAAGAGATGGCTCATCGGTAAGCGTTTTTACTCAAATGAGGAGCTCATAGCTGAAACTGAAGCGTATTTTGGAGACCTTCCGATCGAGTACTTTTCGGACGGTATCAAAAAGTTAGAAAATCGTTGGATTCGCTGTATCGACCTAAAAGGAGAGTATGTTGAAAAATAAACCCGACTTTGGCCAAAAAAACGTCTCCGTGTTTCATTTTTCAGGGACTTATCAGACTGCCTAGTATATTGTCCCCAAGTTTGCGCTTAATATTATTTTCTAATACGTTTCTGTAGGAATCACAACAAAACAGTATAGCCGTCGATTTACTAGGGTTTATCTTTAACAAGTGATCTTCAGAGGTTTGGAGAAGGCTATTCAAGTCGGTATTCAGTCGGTTTGTTATAAGTTCTGACAGATCACGTTTAAAAGAGGCATAAATTTGAGTGTCGTCAGCATAAAGATGATATTGACAATAACTTAGCGACTTCATGAAATTAAAAGTATATAGGCTATGCAATAATGAACCCAAAATAC